ATTTTGATTTTAAGTAATTTGAGAAAATCAACTCCTAAGACTACAATCATCGTTTATTTTAGCAATCAACATTGGAATTTCCAGAGAATATTTTGCAAGTCAAACTTTGGTTATGGTTTTATAATTGACTATAATCTGTTCCCCCGTGGAGTACTTGACATTGCAATTATTTATTTCTATTTTTAATCTATTTTTACATCCGATTCGATAAATCTTTGATTTATTGTAGAAATATTGAAGCCCATATCGATTCTAAAAATACATATCATTATTTATTTATCATTTGTCTCACTCTTACAGCAAAATTCTCACAAATTATGCTTAATTCTATTCATCCTGAAACATAGGCACACAAATTATCATTCAAAGAATATTGGTTGTTAGCATAATAATAATTTTTATTTTCAATTTTATTAAACTTGAAAAAAAATCAGTACATACATTGTCAATAACATTACAAGAACATTAGTTAATTAACATTAGTTAACCGTAAAACAATTTTTCGGGATTATTTCTATTTATTTTAGTCGAGCTTGCTCTGATTATTCCTTGTTTCCCCTCCTGCCCGAACGCTTGGAGCGAAAATAACTCTTCCTTATCACATTCCCTCTTATTACTGACTTTTGTACCGTTACAGGTTTTAAACGAATTATTATTTTCATTATTATTTTCTTTGTCCTTTTTTTCTTTATTATCTTCAATTTGTTCTTTTTTTTTTGTTGAAATATTTTCTTTTATGGCCAAAACTATTTTCATTAATTAATTTTACAGCCTTAACCTTTTCAACCGCTACTCTAAGAAATATAACTCTCTCCAACTGGTTTTTTTCATGAAATTATCCGATAAGACGAAGACAAATTGAGTACAAGCAATTTTATTCCGAATCGGATGTGCGCACTCTGAATAGGCCAATTGCGACAATCTTTCGATATATGCCAATGTAGCCAAATTTTCGTCGAATTTCTGCTTTCTATTCGTAAACTATGAATAATAGTTTTGTGCTCATTAATTCTTTCCGAAGCGCAATTCTAATTTTGATTTTAGTTCTAAAATTAACAAAATCTAAAATTTCAAGATTAGCAAAATCTAAAATTTCAAGATTCTCTACATTTTCTAAAATCGCGCACGCTTTTCTTCTCAGACGGCACAAGACGGCAATTTTCGTCTCTTCAGACAAACCGTTCGCACGCGCAATTAAATTGAATTGAGAAAAGAATTCGCGTAAAGGCACACTACGTCCGAACTACTATCGTCGAATCGTAAACGTATCCGACTTTAACTTGAAACTCATTTTCTATTGCGACGGAACACGCACATCACGCGCGAGAACGGAGCGATCTCCGTCGGTGGCATGACAAGTAGTACACGAATTCGCGTTTCCGTTAAAAGTGAGGAGACTTATTTGGTTATTTGTTATGCTCTTCGTAAGCTTTCCTGCAGTGAACGGATCTCCGCATCGTTGTAAAATCACCGCAAGCTCCGTCTGTTTGCATATCTACTCCTCACGTAGTTGTTGTATTTCGCGGACGCTTGGAGGGCTGTCGCTTCCGTCGTTCTTTCTGAATCCTCCATGTTTGCTCGACTTCGCGTGTTTACTGGTGAGGAACATTAACCACTGTCGAGATTCTCGATTCCTCCAGGGCCTCCAAAATATTACGCCCACGCAGCCGATTTACGAGGTCGCGTTCACGGACATGCACACACACTCCCAAACCGCCAAAATGAACAACACGAATATTAAGAAGAAGAATAAGAAGCGTTTATTAATGCAGAATGTAGAACAGAACACCGTGAAAGATGTTGGATGGAGCAATCAAGAGATATATCTGTACGCGCCGACAGCTCACACCCAAATCTGACAATCTTGTTGTCAGACAGACGAATGCCTAATTATCTCGCGTGCTCTTCGCTACACTAGGGGCGTCGGCAAAACACGAGCATAACATTATGTATGTATTGCTTAAAGGATGGAGACTTGCTCACCTCACTCTTCTAGCAAGAGTAGTTGTTTTCCCTAGCTCTTCAAGATTTTCTATAACTATGTTGGATTTCTTGGACCATACTTTAAAAAGATATTTGGCCATGAGTGAGAACTTTTGTCTGAGCGATTGTTCTTTATCTTCATATAACGTTATTGCCCATAGCTTTCTGAAAGATCTTATATTGTAATTATATTGTATTAACTTGAGCAGAAAGTGTAGATTGAATATCAAATGCAAAGGCCTGCGGCTATATTTTATAGAGCTCCTGAAAAATGGTCTTATGTACAGGGTGGGATCTCTACCAGACGCCCGTCATTGAAGCAACAAAGCTGGCTATGACTTTGCCCCTTTGTATAATTGTGCTAAATATTCCTTGCCTCTTAGCTTCATGTCCAAAGTGACTCACTATTTCGACTCTCTGTTTTACAATGTGAATCGACAGAACATCAGAGAACTGCAATCTTTTGTCGGAGAAAATAATGTGCTCAGTTTTGGTCATAGACAATTCTATATCTTTATTCCCAAGATAAGTATACATGCTGTTGATCGTATTCTAAAGAGATTGCGTAGTCTTGACTATTGAACTGCAGGAGGAATAAACGATTATATTGTCAGCATATTCGAGGAATGTGAATGACATCACTATAATTATTTATATCCTTGAGATAGACCGTAAATAGTGTAGAGCTGAGAATTAAGTCTTGTGGGATGCCTTTATGTGCCAAGCGAAATCCGATCAGCTCTTCATCCACCACGAAGTAATTTTCTTTCTCTGACGTAAAACAAATGAATCATCTCATCTTGATTGGAATTCCGATGTCTCTCAGATCATCCGCAAGAATATCTGATACTACGCTGTCAAACGCACTCTGAACATCAAAAAAAATAGCAACCGTAATCTTCCTCTTATGAAGGAGGCATACATTTGATTATTGATAGTGATCAGATTATCGATGCACAAACGCAAAGATCTAAAACCCATTTGGGTCGATCATTAGAGAATTGGCGTCGATTCTAAATACCACTTTAGCCTCAGAATCAGTTTTTCTAGAATCTTTAGCAAATATAATAAAAGTGAAATTGGCCTGAAACCTTTTCCTTCTGGTTTGGAAATGAATATCATCAACCTCCAAGAAGGGGGAAAAACATTACGTGTCAAGATAACATTGTCTATATCTAGTCTCAATACATGTCAGGCATGGTCAAAATTTCTATTTAGTCCTCGGAGTCGAGTTGGAGTTAACACTAGCCATGGTCATGCGGAGTTTTTTCCCTAAATGGGGAGGGGGGGAGGGTCTAAACTGCTTTCTATAGCGCTCCTCTTGAGTTCCCGGATCTATGACTTCTGATATATTATTGCCAAGACAGGAGTCCGGAGAGAGCTTCGATTCCAGATGTCTGATGTGAGATACCAACCAGTTCGCGCTTCTTGAAAATTCTGATGAGCGACCAGATCTGCGCAGTAGGAGTTTTGGCATTGAAAGTACTAACTAGAATCCTCCAGCCTTTTCTCTTTTGCCTTTTAAGCACCTTCATAGCCTGGAGATCTTCAGATGAGCATAATTTTCTCTCGTTGCTTCTTAAACATTCGAGCCGCTTGTTTGTGAGAAGCGACAGCCGCCTTATATTCACTGTTCTATCAAAAGGATTACTTTGCCTGTTTCTTCTGGATCCCTGAGTGCGGAACTTGTTTCCAGAACTTGTCTCCAGAAAAAATGCGCGTACTTTCTTTAGTAAATGGTTTTTTAAATGTTCATACTTTTTAGAAACATTCTTCAGCAAGAAAAGAATTCAGAAGAAGTGGCATACAAATCGGTAGTAAGCAACCTCAATTCTTCCTTGCCTTCAACTTCAATTTATAACAAAATTGATGAGCACTATTTACCTTACCGCTTATGAAGACACTAATTAAATAATGATCTGAATTAGGGATCTTCTTTCGTTTTCGAACTAGCAATCAATGCCAGGCCAGACGAAGCCATCAATAGGTCGATGACGAACTTCCTACGTCCCGGTGGCTGCATCAAAGTGAGAGCATCCTTATTCAAAATCACGAACTCATGTTTGTCCAATTCCTTGTTCAACGTATCCTTGTCCTGCTGTATCTCCATACGCACAGTGCCAGTTGCTATAGTGTGTATTTAGTTCACCTACAATTAACACGTACTCATGCTTGTTAAAGTTCAGCAGCACGTTTCAATGTACTTGAGCGGGTAATGCTATTCGAGTGTCTATAAATATTTATGATCATAATGATGATGTATCAAGCTATAACTTAATCCCTTAGATTTTCCACGAGGGATGCCAAAATGGAATAAGATTCAATTTATCAAACCTATTATCTTTTCTTATAAAAATAGCAATTCCCTTTGTTGGTAATATCATGCCAAATTTATGTGAGATGTCGTACTAAAACTTGGTGTCAAATTTAATTGTAAGAAGCGTCTCTTGTAAGCATACAATGTCGTATTTGAACAGGAACTTGAGGCAAATTGCCTCGACGATTCCATTAAATGACGACTAAATTTTTAAATGATTTCCTTATGTTAGCCGTCTCTGTACGGTAAAAATGAAGAAGTTAAAAAAAAGTTAAAAAAAAGAGTGTACCTAAAAGTTAAAAAAAAGAGAGTCCCGAATAACTATTCAAATTGGGAGGATTAGTTGAAATACCTAAAAAGAACCTAATTAAGCTTAATGAGGAGAGCAATACAAATATAACAGTCCTTTGTATTGTCTTACCAATCCAAGCAATAATTCTCCTATTAAATTGATAAACGAATTTGGCAAATCGAGAATCTCGATCTCTCTCTTTGTCCTGAGCATCAGCCATTCCCAGCCACTCCCAAAAACCGAGGATAGCCATCTATCTTTCGATCTGCGATGTCGATCTGCCATTAGAATACAACAGGCTTTCTTTGCGTTCTCCCTCTAGGTTGGTCTCATCGAGCGCTACATACCCACGACGAAAGTTGACATCCATCCATAAAATGCGTCGATAAAATGGAGAAAGGAGGCACGATGAGTTCGACGACTAATTATCTCTTCAACAATCTCTTCTTCGATTTTGATGCGGCTATCCACCTACCTTACGAACCGAGGATATATGTCAGCATACAAGAGGCAGAAATATACAGAATCAAAGACGTAACTCGTATGATCGTTCAGGATGATGTAACAATTATCTCAGAAGCACTATCCATCCGCATTAATGCGAAAAATTAATTCTACACGTCTAACATTGTGCTTCGCATTCGCTGAGTTGAGGAAAATTGGGAAAATTGTTAAAATTAAAGCGTGAATTGCCCGCAGGCGAGGCTCTGCTGCTATTGTATTTTATATTCTTTGCATCCTTTAAAGAGATGTTTTCTGTAATTGCCAAATGTAGCATCGCTTTATGTTTCTAAATCAAAGGTCAATCATGTGACATGGCCAGATGCTCTCTCAAACAACAATTGATATATTTCAATTGAAATTTATGTGGATAATCTGCACCATTCTTATGCACCTCATCTTTGCAACTTTTTCCCCAGTAGACGAAGTGAGTGTCACTCTTGCATGATTTGCCGATATGAACAATTGTAACAATGGATAATATTTTCGAAGCTTCCACGAGTGCTTTCTATATAAAGATTATGCGTTTCGGGATTTTCTCGGTATTCAGATCCATTCTTGAAATGCCAATGTTTCGTGAACTTTGTAGTTCACTTTATCAGGATGAGCAGCCTAATACTGAGCTGTTCCTTCGGGCTGTTCCTTCTTATATTACACTTACACACTATCTGCACTTATACTATTACACTCTTATATTACACTGTTGGAATGGTGTGATGAAGGGGAGGGGGGAGGGGAAGAAGAGATTGTGGGTGGAAGGCTTTATATAGAAAGCACTCGTGGAAGCTTCAAGAATATTATCAAATTCTTTTATGGAAAGAGTATCTTTGCTAAAGTAAACACTTTCAGGTCTTCCCTGCCAAGAAACTATCAAACTTGGCATTCCTAAAATACTATAATAACATCCCAAAGTTCTTACAACTCAAGGACCATCTAAGAATAAGGACCCCATAAATCACAAATCCAAAAATCCATCATAAAACCAGCCTCATCAAAAAACGCATCCACCTCACTAAGTTACAAATAGCGCAGATATCTCATATAACCTTTAAACTCTACCTCTGTTCCTATTCGCCACGTTGCGGCATGACATGTGGCACATTCTAGATTGTATTATGAACAAGTCATAAAAACCTCCCTCATACAATCCTCTAAAAGACAAAAATAGAAATATATAAAAGCTTTATCTCTCACAAAAATCCACGACTTTGTCTACTTGACGTCAGGAACTTATCCAACAAAGACCTGTCTCAAGACGGTATATCTGCATTTGCCAAAGGCCCTAACTTGGCATTTAAAAAAGTTCCAAAGGAAGAGATTATCAGCCAAATAGAGTCAATCATCTACTAACTCCCATCAGAACAAGCAGATAATATTCGCAGACAGGTAACTAACATCCTTTCCAAAGTCAAATCCTCACCAAATATTACTAAACAAGAGCGATTGGCCCTCCAAGAACAGGGACACAGACCATCGGCATCCAGTCGACAAAAGTGAACACGACAATAGTGATGAATACATCATTATAAGAAAAAGATGAAGAACTTCTCTCTGACAAAACATACAAAAACTTGACAAAGAATCACATAGAGCACCAAGATCCTAGTGGAGAAAAGCAACATTTTCAATAAACCCAAATCAACATTAAAACCTACAAATCCTCTTCTACCAAGACTATATGGACTATCAAAAATACAAAAACCAAACATCCCTCTCAAAGTCAGCGCTACATATTCCCCGACATACAACATATCTCGCTTCCTAGCACAAACGTTACAACCCCTCACTGAAAAATCCGAATCACACATAACCAACTCAACGGACTTCATACAAAAAATCCAAAAAATCCGTCCCATAGACTTGCTCGTAAGTTTCGATGTATTATCCTTTTTCATACAAATCCCAATAAAAAACACATTAAATATAATAAAGGCCTCATATGAAGTCTCCTCCGACCTCATCCCGTTATAATAGAACATTGCTTAACAACTACTTACTTTTCCTATAACAACAATTTTATGAACAAACTTTAGGAGCAGTAATGTGCTCTTCTATTTCTTCTGTAATCGCCAACATCTTCATAGAGCATTTTGAGAAAGAGGCCCTCAGAAAAACTCCTAAAAAACCAAAAGTTTGGTTTCGTTATGTAGACGATATTCATGATATGGAGATACTATATAGACATAAACAAAAACGGAAAACTTTCCTTTCTAGATGTTCTTGTCTCTAAAAAAACTGACGGTACCTTAAGCCATCAAGTGTACAGAAAACCAATACACATAGATAGATACTTACCGAGTCGCATTACAAAGCACAAAAATAGCCAGCAATCAACTTACTTGTAGTTAGAGTTTTCACTATCTCTGACAAAGAACATCTACAATTAGAACTCAACCACCTAAAACTAGCTTTATAGAAAAACGGACACGACAAAAAAGACATAAGCAAAATAATCAATCATGCAAACAAGACAACGGTCTCTGATATACAATCAAACGAAAGAATCCTATCCGTTTTCCCATATGCCAAAGGAACAACAGATCGAATTGGCAGGATATTAAACAAGTACAATATCCGAACTATTTTCAAACCATCCAAAAAGATAGGACAAATTTTAAGAAATCCTAAAGATCAAAGACTTCCATTCAGCTTCGCAGAAATATACAAAATGCCTTGTTCCTGCAGGTAAATATACATTGGAGAAATCGAGAGAATGTTCAACCTATGGATAAAAGAACACCAACATAATGTCAGGCTAAAATACACAGTACGGCATTATCAGAACACAACAACATCGAAACAGGACATCAAACACTATTTGATAAAACGATCACGATAATCAACATTACATTATACTTTCCAAGAAAATATAGAGAAATCATAGAGATATAAAAACACCCTAACAATCTAAAGACATAATAGTTACAACATAAATAAAATATGGAAGACCATTTTCCCGGTTATTAAAGACCAACCAATTTTCTCCATCTCCCTCCCCCCCCTCACCCACAATTCTCTTTTCCCTCCTCCCCTACCACTCTAACAAGCAGCGTAATATAAAAAGGAACGGCCTGAAGAAACAGCTCAGTATCTGGCTGCTCCTCGAATTGAAATGGACTGCAAGGTTCACGAAACATTGGCATACCAAGAATGGATCTGGATACAGAGAAAACTCGCGAAACGCATCATTTTTAAATTGTAGCAATTACGCACTCTAGAAGTATACTAAGACCTCGTATTCAATCTTAAACGGTTACCTATTTCAGGAAGTCGTTATTCTTCAAACTTAATGTACAAAGTGCGACATACTACATGGGCTGAAAAATCCCGGGATTTTTCAATACGTGGCGTCACTAGAAAATGAACATGATTCATTTCGAGAGGTTCATCTGTCACTAGTTTATGTATGAAGTTTTATGACACTTCGTTCATTCGTTTACAAGCTACAGTCGTTTAAGTGGCGCTAATTTCGCCTTCGTTCTGTACTATCACGATAACGCATCGTCACACACGTCCTTGAAAGCGATGGCCAAATTGGAGCAATTACGATTCGAATTTGGTTGCTCATCCACCGTATTCTCCAGACTTGGCCCCCAGGTACTATTATCTATTCCCAAACCTCAAACGGTGGCTCCAGGGAAAGAGATTCACATCGAATGAGGAAGTCGTCGCGGAAACCGAGGCGTATTTCGAAGACTTGGACGTTTCGTACTATAGAAAGGGCATCAAAATGTTGGAAAATCGCTGTACCAAGTGTATTGCCTTTGAACTTTGTTGAAGAATAAATATAACTTTGCTCAAAAAACGCTTGTTTTCATTAAAAATCCCGGAACTTTTCAGCCCATGTAGTACATAATCTTGCAGTTGACTCCAACATGCCTATTAAGCCTTGTTACTTCTATTATTTTGAAAATTCAATAAAGGATTTAATTGGTTACTATTTATTTTTAGCGGTTCGTCCTTAATGACATCCGTTCTAATTACTCTTTGTTAAGGAATGAATACTTTAAAGTCATGTTTTGCTAAGAAGAGATTCTTTAAGAGATTATTAACTGCAATGTATATACTAGCTCTTATCCTTACCTATCTTTTTAATTTCGCGAATGTTGTCACTCACTATTTCTATGATAACCTTTCTCATTACCATAGAGTATAGAGCCACAGGAGCCAAATTCTTATTTCCGGCAATATCGATCATATACTATATATTAGGTATGGGAAAAGGTTCCGTTAGATGTAATGGGAAAAATGCCACGAACTTTTTCCCATACTTAATATGTCCACAATATAAGGAAGGATATCGCATAGATATTGTCTGCTCTTCTGTTTGGCGCACTTGACAAATTTACACTTCCAGATCTTCCTGAGTATCAAGTTGCCATAACACTAGCTTTCTTAGATTATTGTGGCTTATCATATTGCTTCATTCTAGATCGTTACCTTTTCTTCGAGAAAGATCCGAGGTTTTTCTCTCATTCCATATTCTCAGCGTCAGAGTAAGCATCGAGTGATTCGAGCTCGCAATGTGTTGCATCAGCCTTGCAATTTTAACCGTAGCCACCGCAGTGTGTAGTACCAGACTGCTAGTACCAGACTGCTTATGTACTGTTATTGCCAGTATTGCATGTTTTATTACTGTACTGCAATATATTTCTAAAGAAATGTATACTGATTGCCATAATGATTAACTCCTCATCAGACTCCTTTTTCAATGTACAATAAAAAATAATAAACATATTCATAATAAATGATCATGTATCTATTCGAAAATGTTTAAACAAAAAGATAAATATAATAGGCTAATGAGAGTCAGCAACGATAAACGGCGAAATTATTTAATGAACAATCAACTTAGATATTGGATTGATGTTTTCTTTATTTTGAATGTTTCGACTCACTTTGGAGTTCTCCTCAGCAAGAATGATATAATTACAATTAGCTCCATAATGCCTAAAGTCACTTTGCAAATTGACAAAGATGCAGTGTTCTTAATCTGATATTTTTTTAAAAACAAATATTTTTATTAAAGTTCTAAGTAATTTTTTGATTAAAGTCATATA